TGCTGCAATTGCATGACTTAGCTTGATAGTTGTTTTATCTTTATCTACGTTCAGCTCAGAATATAACTCTTCAACAAGAAGTTTGTATGTCAAATCAGTCGGAGAAAAAAAGAATATCACTCCTTTGGCATCTTTAACTTTTCCATCCCATTCATATTCCCCACTCGAATTCAATGTCCACTTGCCACCAGACTTGTAATAAATAATCGTCATTCTTTCATCACTTGCATCCATTATGACTGTATAAAATAAACACAAAATGTGAGATATATGATGATCAGTTTGACGAGTATGACCAGTTTGCCGAGTATGACCAGTTTGACCAGTTTCGTCAATATGACCAGTTAGACGAGTTTGCCGATTCTGATTATTTCGAAGAGTTTGACCAGTTTGATATAGTTTAACTAATGTGACCAGTTTGACTAATGTGAATCATGATAATATTGATTCAACTCAATTAAGTCTACAAAATACGATATGCTATTGATATATATGTTCCATTTTACTCATTTATACCATATGTGTCGAATATAAACATGAAAACAACAAAACCCTTTCATAAAAAGAAAAACTCTAAATGCCCAAAGTATATAACGGAATTTAAAGAAGAAAACTTACCTATACACGAGATCTATGCTTATTGGATGAGATTATTGGAGATTTCGCTTGTTTTTCTCAATAAATTTGGTGAGAATTTCACACTGTAGAGGAGGAGCTCGAAGAGAGAGAGAGAGCGTGATACAGGCGCGAAAAAACGGAAGAAAGGAGAGAGAGAGAGTGGGAGAGAGAGAGGTGGAAAGAGGAGAGAAAAATATTTTTATTTTATTATATTATATAAATTAATAAAGGGTATTATAGGGAAACTACATTTATAAGGTTATATTTGATGTTGTCTCTTTTCTTTTTTTTATGAAGGGTATCCATTGAAGTCCCATGTATCATTTAAGGGTATTTTTGCAATTGCCCCCTTTAACAAACCCTAAATATTATAAAACTATATTTGAGAGGAAAAAAGATATTAATACAAATGAATATATTGATTGATATTTAAGAGATACGTACGTTAAATATTTATTATCGAAATCAGTGATTGGGTTGATGGGTAAGTGCGCAATTAATGGATGGGTGTTTATATTTAATGAGCAATTCTCATCAATTTCATCACTTTCATCATTTCTAAGCATCAAAAGGCGGTCTTAGAGATATATACACACATATATAATACTAACTACTGTGTAATTGAACATAATATGGCTGATTGCATACAGAAAATAATCAATGAGCCATATATATATATATATATATATATAATTTAATAAGCTAAATGGCAGCTGCTCGTTTATGACTACTTAAATGCGAGGCAAACGGATTCATCGTCACTGGTCCCAACATAATCTTAATTGCCAAGCATTCGCATTCGCATTCGCATTCGCATTCGCATTCGCATTCGCATTCGCATTCACACTTGTATTTATGTCCATGTTTCCAACTATACATGCACATACATACGAAAGATGCTTTATATAAAATTCCATGAAAATATTATTTTAATGCATATAGCAAAAGCAAAAAAAAAAAGATTTTAGAACTACAAGGTAGAGAAAGGGAAACCGGTATTAGGGTTCCCTGAGTTCTGATCTACATGGACCAATAAATATAATAAATCACTATAATTCCCCTTTTTACTTGGACCAATAAAACGAAAAATAAAGATGGATTTAAAAAAAAAGTTTTCGGCAAGGAACCTGGGTGCAAGAGGCTCGTGGAGATCATTTCCGAATTGATTTGGGAATTTGCATAGAATCGGTGGGATCTCCCCAACTCAGTTGGTTTGAGAGCCCACTTACTGAACAAGAGGTCGTGGGTTCAATCCCCAGAGTATGGAGATTTCTCCTCCGGCCACCTTCGGATGTCTCACATCCCACACGTGTGGTGTCGGTTGTGCGTGTGGGTCGGGATTAGTCTGGGCCCTTTGGGTTTAGGATTACCCGGTTATAAAAAAAAAAAAACATTAACATCTCGATCCCATACGACGTCGCATGAGCAAAGGAGAGACTCCAGCTGCCAGAGAGGGAAATTTTTTTTAAAGAAATGCGACCGACCCAAGCCGAAACGTGACCTTTAGACACGTAATTATGTATGGTTCAAATTTCGATGCTTAGAAAAAAGCAAGAACAAAGTCATGAAAATAAAGATTCATGGTTGACATTATTTTAGCGAAAACTAAGATTATGTTTATCAACAAGTGAAAGTGATTTTCGGACAGAAAAAGGCAAAAGTAAATCTTGTGCCTTAGGGTTTAGTTTCCCAGTTCCGATCTATTAGCAATGGGTTGCATATACACTTGGCATGTCATAGAGTCGAAAACCCTTTTTCAACTATTAGGTTAGTGAAGGTATCCATCCACAAGCGAACAAAGTACGGATTCCACAGAGAGAGAGAGAGAGAGCAAAAAAGAAGAAGAGGAAGTAATAAATGTGACATGGGGGGAGACAAGGGCTTCATACGTGAAAGAGAAAAACAATGATTCTATTACGAAACTGCAAGTACTGTACTGTCTCCGAGAGTGAACGTGAAAAGCATTTTGTCAATCTGCCACCAGACGAAACTTCCCTCGTGGGTGAAAAGACAACCTACATTGCCCTAAGCATCAACAGGTTCCCATTAAATGCAAAAAAAGCTCAGACACCCCCTCCTCTTTTTATATTCTTTCTCCTACTGCTGGAGCTGAAATAACCAATCAAAAAGTGCAGATGCCTATTGAAAACTCCATGAACGAACTATCAAAGATCGGATTTTGACGCACCTGCCGATGTGATTGATCATAGAGCAATCGAGAAGGCGGAAAAGACGATCTCTCTCTCTCCCTCTCTCTTGTCAGCAGGATGGACCAATGGCACTACTTCCCTCCTCCAACTCTGTCTTCGGCTGAGCAGAATGTGTCGGTACAAAACGCAGAGCCTCATGTTGCTGGCGAAACTGATCAGAAGGACTGTCAAAGCTGCAAAGAGCCAACGACGGCGGCGACAAGACCGTGGCGCCGGAGCTCGTCTGGTTAAACCCGGTCACAGTTACAGGACCCGACGCTGACTCGAACCTCAAGTTCTCAACTTGCGACTGGTTTAGCTGATTCTGATGATGCCCACCTCCATATGTCCTAAATATATGCTGTTCTCTCATGGCCGCGGCCGCTGCCAACTGCTGAGCCTCATAGATATGCAATTGCCCATGTGGTTGGGCGGTCGGAATAGCCATCACTGCAGGAACCATGTTCTGATGCTGATCCGCCATCACGGAGGGAGAAGACGACGGATTTCCGATAGCGGCCAGTTGGTGGTGCATCGCCATGGAAGGCTGCATAATCGGGAGCATAGCTTGAGGGCCGATACAAGCGGCGAGCTCCTTCTTGGCAATATCCAGATCGAGCTGGAGTTGCTTGAGGCGGTGCTGGAGGATGGAGATGAGGCCGCCGCAGCCGTAGACCGGATCGCGGAGCCGGGCCTCGGCCTCGTAGAAGAGGGAGTTGACGGCGTCTTCCCTCTGATTAGGGCTCAGATGGTTGAGAAGCTTAGAGACGTTGCTTGCTCCGAACACCTTATGGACGTACGCGAATTTCTGTGGCTGGTCCGGTGGGAAGTACGGCGCGAATACGCATTCCTGTGTGCATTTTCGCCTGAGAAACTTGCAGGCCGCGCATGGCGAGCTTGATGACGACATTCACCCTCTCTCCCAATAACGCTGAAACATACACAGTAATTAAAATTCAGAATTTGTGTGTGTGTACATATATATATATATAAATAAATGCACCGAGGAAGCTTCGTGTCAGAGAGGGGAAAAAGAAACAAGAAAAGTTATCGTAATGGAACAGTAGTGAATCCTGGTCATAGTACGAACAATTACGGAAAAAGTGAGAAGGGAACTGATCTGTTTCGTCCATGATTGACGATTGCTACTCTAAGTTTAGTGGAGAGAAAGAATTCTATGCCGGAAGATTTGGGATTCGTCGAAGCTTTGATGGAGAGTGAGATTAAACGAGAACGAGGATATGAACCGACAACGAATTGATGCTGTAACTGACCAGAATTGGAGAGAAATGAGGAAGCGCGATGGGGTCTTCGAAATCTTTCTCCGTGTTTCAGATCTGTTTGGAAGGAGAAAAAATTTAAGCAGGAAATATATATATATATATATATATATATTATATCCAAACAGAAAGTGAAAGAAAATCTCTCCATATCAGTCGGCTTCACTGAATCGAATCATATACCACGCTTTTAGAAAGTAACTCGGAATAAATTGGAAAATCAATCTCACCTTAACAGTCACGAATCAGCCTTTCCAAACTTGACCTCTCTCTCTCTCTCTCTCTCTCTCTCTCTCTCTCTCTCTCTCTCTCTCTTCGTGGAAGAACTCGTTCGATTATCACTGTCTCTCCCTCGCCCTGTCAGATGCCAACTGTACCAAGGATGAGAGACGAAACCCCAAGGCTCTCTAGATTCCGGCGATGATGGTGATCGGAGGCCGTTCAGAGGGAGATAGTGGACGGGCGAAAACAAGGCGACGAAGAGAGCGAGGAGCGACAGAGAATTCGCGGGTCTAGGGTTTCTGAGTCAAACCCGAGTTTGATCGGATCTCCGATTTTTTTTAAGAGCCTGACCCGAACCCGAACCCGAACCTGACGGGGAGGAGGACGATGACGAGAAGGGAAGGAAGCTTTTCTCTCATGACGGACAAAACTTCTGAAGTGTTGCCGTTGATATCACATCACGGATGTTTTCAGCCGTCCGATCTGATAATCATTTTTTTGGATTTAATTTCTTTAATCTGAGCGGTTTATGGGCACTCTGAGTTACCTTTTTGCCCCTTACCACATGCATGCTTTTACTAAAATACCCTCTCACGCACATCCATCCACAAAGTCTAAATGTATATCCTGCCAATCTGTATAACTTAATGAACAAGTTGAAAGTCGAGATTACAATAAGAATATATTTTAATAGCAGATGATAAATCCACGTGGAACCGAATATGGACTCGTTTAAATTCATTATTGCACATGGGTTTTTAATAGGGATGGTTTAAAATTATATCCATTGTACTTTATGATGCAAATTCCGGTCCATAGTAGAAAGCCCTGGTAACATGAACGAAATAATATTTTCAATCATCGTATCTCAATACATCACATGAAGGTCAACGTATAAAATAATGTGAGATCTCGTGGACATTTTTTTTTAATAAGACTTGTCAGTAATTTCGAATCTAACTAAAGATTTGAATGTAAATAAACGAGAGGGGTGGGGGCAGGTACGTAATTCAACACTTGCGGACCCACACCGGAGTACGGACTTTTCCACGTGCGTTACCGAATGACCTAAAATCAATCAACAAAAAGCACCGTACTCCGTTAGGTCAAAAGTTTTCCGTACGCAATTTTTATCATACGAACTGTATAAGCCAATTATTTCCACCATATTTGCCTAGAAAGATACAAAGCATATATATGTATATGCACATGTTCTATATTGTGAGAATTTAAATGTGTATACGGCATCCTACCAATGTATACGTTTGATGATATATATATATATATATATATATATATATATATATATATATATATATATAGAACAAACGA